AAAAAAACTCTTTTTCCAAGAAGCAGCTGCGTTTGCTTTTTAACAAAACATGAAAGAATTCTTCCGAACAAAGTGAAGAATTTTACAGCTGTTAAACTTTTCGGCCACAACACATGCTTTAGAAATCTAGGTACACAAGAAAGACCAGATTAATTTTTCACACCCTGGTCAGGCTTACAATATATTTCACAAAAAAGGAGTTTTCGAAAAACCTCAGCTACATTTTTGTTAATAGATAAAGAAAACAAACTAATGGAAAAGAGAAATGTCAGCTATTGTTTTGGTATTCAAGACTCTACATTTTAACATTGTATTGAAATAGTATTGTATTGAACATAGCCCGGTGGCTGAGCGGTAGCGCTTCGCGCTGTCGTGCCACAGGTCCTTGGTTCGATCCTTGGGCCGGGCAAGGCCGACTCAGCCTTTCATCCCTTCAGTGGGTCGATAAAATGAGTACCAAGCATGCTTGGGAACTAACACTGGGGGTTCCGCGTTCGGCTGACCACCTGACCGGAACATATGCTCCTGCACCCCAGAGCCCAAGGTCAAGAAAACTGAGATGGGCACAGTCGGCCTTGGCCCTCTTAATGGGCTGTCGCGCCACTGAGTTAGTTAGTTTTATTGAAATAGTTATTTATTGTAACTATCTCACCATAGCTAACCGAAATTTAAGTAGTTAATTGTGAAGTAACTACTACGAGTATATTTTTCTCGGGAAAGATTTTTGTATCATTCAAGCAAATGAATAACAGGATTTTATTTATTTATTTATTTTTATTTTATTTACTTATTTAATTTTATTTTATTTTATTTTATTTATTTATTTATTTATTTATTTATTTATTTATTTTATTTTATTTTATTTTATTTACTTATTTTATTTTATTTGTTTATTTATTTTTAAACTTATTACACACTTTTGGAACGGGGTTATAGCAGGGCGGAATGATGTTTCTTGACTTTTGGTATCGATAAGGTATTACTTTCGAGCTTAAAGGAGTATAACTTGACCACCACGTCATTGCTTAACCAGGAGGCAATGAGCCGTTTTAGGTAAAGGAATAGAGCGCTAGAGAACCAGTGATGGCTGGTCGATACGAATTCAGCCCCCAGCTTGCACAGACCACAGCGTTGACGTAAGAAATATCCTCAGCTGGCAGGAGGATCATTGACTAGAATCTCCATGCTGCAAAGCTAACTGTGGGAAGTTTTCGTGATTTTCTTCTCCATGCGATGCAAATGGGAGTTAGGTCATCAAAATATATCATCTGCAAAGTCAACAAACATGTGAGAGTTAGTCATTTATGCTCAAAAGCTCTCTATTTGCAATGCATATGAATTTTATAAAATTAAAAGAAATTGAAAACCTATACAATATTTAATGCCATATTTTATTGCATGATAATATTGTATATATATTGTGTTCTCTTTATTCTCCTACCTATCATTTTACTAATTACATCATAGTACTTGGAAATTCAAGTACTTCCCTGAATATCAGCTATCAATTTGTATATTTTTAGAAATATAAGATTTCAATCAAGATTTAGGCACTATCCATCAAATATTTCTTGAAGATACATTTCACAATCATTTATTGAAAGAACCTTTTTTCTTATGAAAAAATTTAAGAAAAGCAAGCATTGTTTATCCTTTTTTCTGATTACTCACCTTACAAATCTTTTGATTTATGTGAAGCATTGAACATTTTAGTTCTTAAGTTTCTTGTTCTTGTATTTGTTAAAAGCATTTTTTTTTAAAAAAAAAAGCTTTGTATTTTTAACTCATTTTGATCCCAAATAAACGTTTATTACAATTAATAACTCTCCTCTAAAATAATTTGAAAATGAATTTCAAGTTCTGGAAATAATCTCTCTATGTTCTAAAATTCATAATTGCCACTTCTGTTTTGGGTATTTAATTTAATGCTACAATTTTTTTACCAAACAAAAACTATAAGACTTCGAAACTTGAAATGACGTAGGCGTGTAGAAAATGTACAGGATGTACGATGATTAAAAAAAAATAAACAATCGATAATTATTTCTAGAATTATTAAATGTTAGACTTGTTGGAAAAATTATGAAGACCGCCCACCAGGCTACAGGAATGCCCTACAGAGTTGAAATTTGACATGTGATATTACTACGATTGTTTATTAACTTAATACGAGTTTTTTTTAAACTTCCATTAATTTTAAAATTATTGCACTTAGTGCTCTTGCATTTTTTTTCCTTTCTTGTGACTTTTTGTCTTGTTGAGTACAAATATAGAAAAACGATGGAGTAAAAAAAGCTAGGATTTAATTATTAAATCGAGAATTATCAACTGTTAAATATTTTGTAAAAGAAAATAGAATGTGTGTGTGATCTATTACCCCCTGAACTGTTACTACAGAGTTGAAATTTGATGAGCTGAAGGAACCATTTTCAATTATGAACCTAAAGCGAAGTTGTATGAAATTTCACTTCTTTCGAAAGTTATTGCAATTTTAGATGCTTTTTTCGGGAAATTTATTTTTTAATTTTTTACTTTAAATAATGTTAGATTCACATTTGTCGAAAAATTTATCTATTTCGCAATCATCGCTTTATAAGCTCGTGCTTTAAGTTGATATCAAAATTACCAAGAAAACTCAATAAATAAAACAAAAAAAAAAGATATTAGATATCAGATGTAAATGTAAATATTTACATCAACATTTTTCAAAATATAAAAGGCTCAAAAGAGTTAAAAACTGTAGCCAAGTAGAAAGATTATATAACATAAAGTTATCATTATATATTGCTAATGAGTAAAATTTCTTCTGATTTATTATATCGTATTGTGTACCACATTCTGTATTTCTAAAGCTGAATATTTTATTTCCATGAACAGTTGATTAGTTTTTCATATCCAAGTAATCGTTACTATTACATATTAATAATTTGTTTACATAAAATTATAGTAATTGTATATTTTGTAAACAAAATTATCTTTATTATTTTACTTCCTTTTTAATTCTTATTACTCTTATTTAGTTATTATTTTACTTTTTAATGACATCATTTTTGAGAAAGCGAAAGATGAATGAGAGTTATCCACGAAAGTTGGTGAGCGGAGCTAGAAAAGTTCGGAGCCACCTAATTGTATAAATAAAGTCTGATTTTCTTCTAGAAATAGTTTATTTTTTAAAAAATTTCTTATTGTTTGCCATGCTACAAAAGGACAACGCATCGAAAATCTGTAACTGAAAAAACGTGTTTTGTTTTTCTTTAACTTCATGTATCATTTATTGTAATGATGGAAAGTGGCTCAGAAGGTGTGCTAAATAAGTGGTTGAAGGAGCGGCAAATTTTCCCCAAACATATTAAACTTTCATCATATTAAAAATGCATTAATAATTTAAGAAGACAAAAGATTAATTTTTTCTCAATCATGAAAAAAAAATTACCCCATCTTCCTCTTGGAACGGAGCGGTAATGAAAATTAATTTTACTTAAAGAAAACTTATAAAACTAAAATTAATGTTAAAAAAATACAGGGATTGGACAAAATAATGGGAACACTTCGATACTAACGCATTTTTCGATATTTCTCAAAAAATAATAAGAGAATCAGTTTATAAATTTACAAGTGATTAGATCGTGCTATTTCTCATACATATCAATGAAGTTTACAGCGTTTCGATGTTTAAGGGACAGACAATAAATTACAAAAGAAAAAAAATTAATTACCATAAAATGTAGTAATAATTGCCATAAAATGTAGTAATAAATTTGTAACTTATCACAATTATTTGTGTTATTATATGCATTAATTACACAAAATTTCGTAAACCAAGCTTAAATACACAACTCAAAACAGACATAGTAGGCGATAAAGACTGCAGCTTATTAGTCTTATTATTGATAATAATAATGCCGACCGGCCTTTGTAGGGGGCAGGGAACTGTCCTTATATCAGAAAGGTCCTGGGTTCGAATCCCGGGCAAGGCATGGTTGTTTCTTTCTCTCTTTGTGTGTTCTATGTCCTTTCTCCTTTGTGTGTGAATGTGACTCGCCCTATAAACGGGTTGTGGTTGTGTGAATGGCGTGGGAGAAGTCGAATTCCTGGCCAAAGATGGCGCCACTGAAAAACAGGAACAATAGCACCCCCACTGCCTAAAAAGGCATACGACAAAAAAAATTGATAATATTTTTAAAAAATATTATAAAACTTCTATTGATTATTTAACACACTTCTTTCAACTAAATTTTATAGTTAAAATAAATATAATTTATAATTTTAAAATAGCATAAATATATTTAGTTTCTTATGGAACTAGTGCAATTAGAAAACCGTAATAATAAACAAAAACCAATAAAAATAATATTTTATTGAACGAACCAATTGTTATAAGATCAGATATTGGTTTCTAAATTCATCAATACATTTCTTCAAATTTGCATTCCATGTCCTTTTTTTTTAGTTCGAAGGCAGGCTTAAACGGAAAACAACATTTAACAGCTAAAAACAGCGTACTTGTAGCCTTGTCTTAATTGCGTAAATCATACCAAAATAACGTAAAGGTACGCAGCATCTAAATAAACGCGAGCATGAGCAGTTTTGTTTCAATCTAGTACAGAAGTTATCGGAAAAATACGAAATCTCCCTATTAAATATTTTTATGCTTATCACATTGTCACAAATTGAATTGAGAAATTTCTGATTTCTTTTTTTCATTAATTATCAAGCGCATAATTTGAATTATCTGCTGTACGAAATTCAAACTATTGTTTAAGAAAGGAGCCGTTTGTGAGTGTTTTTTTCTTTTTATATAAATTTTATAGTAAGAGATCTTTTCTTCCTAAAAATCACAGACATCCTCGCTTTTCCATTCCGTTTCCATTAATTCCCATGTGAAACTTTTGACAAATAAATATAATTTATTCGCACCTTTTCAAAATTGGTTTTTGGCTACATTTTACTTTTTTGAGCCAAGCGAAATTTAAAATATTTTCCGTTCTTATATTTTCCAGGAAATAAAGTTGCAGTTAAAGTGGTGGACAATATCGCGGAAAATATATTGGAAATAGAATCAGAGTACAGAGTTCTAACATCGATTGGTGGAAATCCCTACATTCCTGAATTTCATGGAACATATTTACATTTGCCAAAGAACGCCAAAAGGCAGCTGTGGTTCGTCATGGAAGTGAGTAGATATTAAATAATTCTTCCGAAAGAATTCATTCATATCTCGTTCTTAAAGTCAAAGATTTCATACAATTTTACGCATCCAATATTTCATATATTGAAAAAGGGTTCCTTTAATCGAACGAATACAATTAAATAAGTTAATTTTTATCGAAACGAGACATTTCTTTTTATTTTATGACAGTTTATATTATATTTAACACTAATATGTATATTATCACAAAACCGTAGACATTTATCTTCCCATTTTCGAAACAAAAGAGCTGAAATTATTAGATCTATAAATTGGACATGAAATGAAATATTAAAAGTAAACAGATCATGTAAACAAAAATATTCTATATCATTGTTTTAATTGTATTTATTAAATCATAATTATTTCTAGCAATATTTTAGCTTTACAAGTCGCAAACTTTTCTCTCGCTAGCTCGCCATTGCCTATCAAATATTTAGGTCTGGTAAATAAATTCCGTGTTTTGAAATGTCGAGTTTTAAATTAAACAATATATGCTTAGATAATCGTGCTTCGACGAAGCAACATGTAGGTTTGGAATCAAATGACGATATTTTTCTTCTCTTAAGAAAAAAAGGCTGAATCACCCATTTTTAACATACGAAACCATTGTTTCTAGAAACATAGAAATATTAAGACAACCTTATTTTAATAGTATGTATTATTGTAGCATTGATCTTCTTCATTCTTTTCTGGTTTTGGTCACCAAAAGATTATTCATGTTGCATCTATTAACATTTGTATGATTGCGGCAAGCAAGAATTTAAATTTAGTTTGAAACTGAAATTCCATGCTTATAATTACTAAGGCAAAAGATAGATATGTTTTATTCATTAAAATCAGCCATAAATGCGTTGATCATTGATTTAACCTACTCTTTATTTATTTATTTATTTAAACTTTGGTATACGTCCTCCATTTTAATTTACTTTGTAGTTATTGGTTTTTTTTCATGTTTTGACCTTTTTTTCGGTTTTTATTCATTGTACGAGTTTTTGTTAGAAAAAAAGACTATCTTATTTTCAAATGAGTAAATCTGAAATGTTTACATAGAGGAATTTTATGTATTCTAAATATAATTCGTAAGTGGCATCGAAATATATTTTAACCAAATCGCAATGTATATAAATTGAATGAATCGAAGGTTATAAATCAAATAGTATACATAAATCAAAAGTTCCACAGGTTGATCAAAGGTTTCCTTGTTGCATGCTTTCCTAACTTCATATGAAAAAGACTATCGCCATATATACCAGGTCTGGCGTGATTTGAATCACTTGAGGTCTTAGAAAAATCATTGATTTAAATCAAATGATTTATTTATAATAAAAATCATTCCTTTATGTAATTTTTTTTTATTTAGTATAAGTTAAAAATATATTATAAAGACTTTTTAGGGCTGATACCATTGATATATTAAAGATTTTTATCAGATTAAATTTTAAATTTATTTAGATTGGATAATGATCTTGTATTTTACTTGTTTCGAAATAAATAATGGAATAAAGTAAATATCCTTCGTCATTTTTTCATTCTAAATAAAAGGATTAAAATTATATTTAGGATTTTTCCCTCCACTTCTCCAATCCCCAGTCAGTGGTCTGAGATGTTCCCCGTATAGCTTTTATTTTTATTATGCGAAGCGTATAAAAAAGAATAAGACTACACACATATTTAATAATCAAGTTCACAAGGGCCTAAAGATAGTGGTAGTTGAAATGAACAATATAGAAAATCTATAGAAACTATTCAGTTTCTACGTAGGAGAGAGAAAGAAAGTGAATAAAATTAAAGTAAGTAAAAAATGCGACAAAAAAAAAGAAGTGACTTAAAAAGGAAAATTTGCAAACGGCAAAAAAAAAAATTTTTTTTTAATCTGTAATCTATTTACTCAGTGTAGTTAGAATGTAGAATGATGTAATGAAAAATGATGAATGAGCTCGATGTTTAATTTTTTTAATTTGACTTTTGAAATTACGCATCTTAAAGTCATGAAAACGTTTCGTGCACAAGATGTTTCGTAATTAATCTCTTAATATGTATCGTAAGAATATTTTTCAAAAATAAAATAAGTTACAACTATTCAGAGTTACAAATTAATATAAAAGTGAGGAAAATACATTAGAGATATCAAAATCTAACGGATATGAACTGGTAAAGCGGATCTAAAAATAACAAAATCAGTTTAGTTACCTCGTAAAACATGAAGGGCTCGCTAATAGTCGCTTTTCTCAAGTATTCACCAGCAATCAAACAGGTTTTCATGTTTACAGTCTTACTTTCTTCAATAATCATTTTTTATATTTTAATTCCAATCCCTAACATGGATGCATATCTGACAAATCTTCTTAAAATACATTTTAAAGGCAGTCAATTTGAACAACCTTGTATTTTTAAAATTAAGTCAACATTTTAAGCTTGGTGAAGCCAATTCAAGAAGGAAAAAAAAACAATACAAAAGACTTTACAATAATTTTGCAAAAATTTCGACACTAATTTGAATTATTGAGCCGCGGTTGTAGCTCAGTGGATGCAGCACTCACCTCTGAATGAGATGCTCTCGTCTTGCACTAATCACACTGTTGCACTGTTGGCGTAAAAATTATCAAACATTTGAACTCAGATGGATAATAAGTTAAAATCGTCTTAACATCAGGTTAACCGTGGGAGGTTTTCGAAGTTTTAAGAACCATCTCTATGATAACGAAGTCTTTACCCTGTTGGAGTCAGTTTTGCCACTCCTCTAGGGAAGATACGCCCACTGAAATCTCGCCAGTAAGCCACGCCAGTATGAGCTATTAAATTTCAAAGTGGCCGGATCATTTATTGGTCGAAAATGACATAACCACGTGTGCGAAGGGAGATGATATGTATCGTGAATTTCGCTACCGATTTCGTTTTCACATGAGGTCGGGAGTTTTTTCATTCCTATAAATGTTTACTTATATCAGTATTAAGTTTTATTTCCTTGACTTTGAGTGGAAATTGTGCGAATTGTAAATAGTATTTTTATTTCCAATTGTAAAAATAAATATTAATTTAGTTCCTTTCTAGTTTAGTTTCTTTCAGTCAGCGCCTTTTTAAAATTCAGTAAATTACATTATTGTTTTCTATCAAGCAGGCATTTCTTTTATTTAAATTAAATTTTTTGAAACATCAGGTTAAAAAACACATTTGAAAATTGATGTAGATATATATCTTGAAATCGCAATAAAATCAATAATAAATTATTAGTAAAATTAAAGAAATTCTAAAATTAACCTGTTTAAAGGCAAAAATTTCAGCAATCACGTCAACGCCAACCGATACGTACCACAAACAGTGATGTCCTTTTCAACCAATAGCGTGGTCCGGCCGCTTTGAAATATAATCGCTTATAAGCCAATTTCCTCAAATCAGCATCGAGCTATTGGATCGTTTTAGCATTTTTAAATTTCCTGAGATCTATTTGTAATTTTTTTAAATAAAAGTCGCCTTATATATATTATCTTTTCAGACAATTACAAAAGTTCCACCGAGGATGTAAAACGCCTCTAAATTTTCACCCAGTTTCTCACCACGAAACGCAAGTACCGGTTAGTTCCATCAAAAAAACCTCCACAAAGATCAATTTGTCCCCGATTTGCCAGATCTTTTATACTTGTTCAATTTCATGTAAATTACGGAGATAAAACTCATGTCACTAAATGAATATCGCTATTTAACTTAATCTTATATTGTCTATAAGAAAAGAGAAATTGTTTAATTTTTTTATACAAAGTCTATTTTTTTCAAGGAAGTTTATTTGAAGAATTAAAGTATTATAATAATTGAAAAACACTCTTCAGGAGTAAGCTAATAAACGTAATGTAAAATTAATTTTTATCGCTTATCAAGTTTTTCCGCATTTTAAAGTCTATTTACTTCATGTTTGCTTGGTGCTCGGGAAATATTTACCTAAGAAAATGATTTTTTTAATCCTAAAATAAAAGCAAATTTTTAAAATGCATTTTGCTTACAAATTCGTTTTTTTTTCTCTGTAAACAAAGATTTGATGGAATAATCACCTCATTTTCTCACTGTATTTAATTTAATCGCTTGTTATCTTTCCAAAAAAAATAGAAAATTAAGAATAACTTATAATATTTTATTAATATTAATTACTCTTTTAGAATGTTCTAACCCATGTAACATGTGCAGAAGTCAAACGAATTTTTAATTAATAATTAAAACTAGTGACGTTACTTTCACAGTTGAAGTTAAATGAAACCAAAGAAAAAAAAAGAGTTTTATGTGAAGCATTAAAAAGTTGAACCCTCTACGTAACAGCAAATTTCAGTCAGGCAGGACATAATCAAGCGCGGCATAAGAAAATGCATTCTAAGAAGCATACTTTAGCTATTTGCAGTTTAAAAAATAGTGGTTGCTAAATGTTTAAAAGCAGTTAGTTTTATATTTCTGGTGTCTTGTAACAGGAGTTAAATTTGTGTAACGAGACTGACTACACTGCCCTGGAAGTGTATTATGAGATCATCATGCCCTGGATCCACATAGCGAAATTGTGCAATTTAGTCTTACACATGGAAAATGAACATGTTTGGTGATATGCTTAGCAATCCTTGCTTGACATAAAGTTGTTCAAAATGTGTAATTGAAAAAATTATTTTTCAGAATCACTGAATCGTCTTTAATATGTATAGGCGTTCTAATATATTTTTTTGCAGTCCATTAGTAATTATTTTGTAGAACATATATTTTCGAATATTTTTCTGCATAATTAACACACTTGCAATATTTTTTTGCCTCAAGCTTCTGACACAAACAACTACATTTTACTTAAAAATATAATATAAATTATTTAATCAAACTACGTCACTAATATCATAAGCAACGATTTTTTTTTCTTTTCTACTTATATTCAAAATTTGTTTCCATATCTGTATATTTTAATGTAGAACAAGAGAGAAATATTTTTTTGACTAATATATTTGTACTTATATTTTATG